AGCTTGGGAGCCTCCTCTTTTATCTGCTTGGAAAACTTGGCACGGGAATTCAGAACTTGACGTGCCTTGCAGCAACTTGCCTTGTCAAACACACCTAGGCTACGGCGCGGCGCTGAAAAATGCATTGTTTGCAGGCAAGAAAGTAACGGAGTGAGGGAGCTCACCCCTCCACCAAAGCCTGCCGCTCTGAGTCATGAAATTAGAATTGAATGGGACGACTCACTGAGGTCTGCACTCAGGAGCAGGACACAACATGATTCTCCTGAGACCCTGGGAGCCGGTTTTACTCAGGCGAGCCAAGGGCTCGCTCCTTTGAGTAAGGTTCCTTGCTAAATGTGAGGGTTTAACGCGTTGCACAGCAAACAGGGCAGCATGAACAGAGGCTTTTCCGAGGCTTCCAGCGCTAGGACTGAACGTGCACGTCCTGTCGCTGGCTTGGGAAGGCTGGGGCTGAAGGTGGTTTTATTTACCAGCACAGCTCTTTTGATTTCTTTCGGAAAGGGGATCTAAATGATCATAGGTCATGGGCTTGCAGAGGTGAGCTGAGCGTGAGTTGTCTTGTGGTAGGATTTTCTGGGATCTTACCAAAGGAATTATCTCCCTCATTGCAGGGGAAGCTGAGAAATTAGTTAGCACGGCTTTCAAAGACAGCAAGCAAATCCTTTTCCAAAATAACTTCAAATTACATTAAATAGTGCTACAAGACTTATAAAACAGTTATTAAAAAGATGCCTGGAATGATTGCTCTTCTTTTGAATCTCAGGTTTCAAAAGCTCCCCGTGAGGTGGTATTTTTATCACTTTTTTTCCGCCCCTCTGTATTTAACCGGCAATTTCCACATCATTGCTGGCTCTCAGAGACATTCTGCGAAGGGGAATTCATCTGCTTTTCTTCCAGCTCCCTCCCACCCTCTCCTTCATTCTGCTGAGATCATTCAGTTGGAAAATTTTTCTAAAACAGCCTTTTCCCCGTGATCTTGGGGTCTCAGGTGAACCCTCGCCCAGGAGCTTTGATCCCCGTGATGAGGCTGGGTTGTGCTTTGGGGCGGTGTAAAGGCAGGAGAGCTGGGGACCTCTTCTCTTGTGTCTGTGAAGAGCTGGACACAGGTTACAAGGGGTGATGTCCCCTCCCTCCCACCCAAAATAAGTCTGCAGGCCAGATTCTGCCCAGCCATGTCCCTGTGCCGCAAAGGCTGCCCAACTCAGTCATGCTGTGTGTCAGATCAAATAATAGCGCAAGGCAGAGAGATGAAACCCCAAGCAGCTAAATCAAAAAGATTCTCCAAATCAGCTACGTGAGCAATAAGTGAAGGAGCTTAATCCAAAATGAGAGGCTTAAGGGTATCTGCTGCATCTCACGGCTTGTTTCTGTTGGTATGTTTCCAACCACCGTTTTCTCTGTCTGGGAACTTGCAAGAACCTGAGAAGAAGGGGTTTTTTTTTGTTTTGTTTTGTGTTGTTTTTCTTTCTCCTTGCAATCAGAAAAACCCAGCGCTCGCAGCTGTCATCTCATGCAAGCGCTCCTGTCACTGCCTATTGCCAATAGCGTGAGTCACCGGCACCCGCAGCGCTTCGGGCAAGCTCTCGGCAGTGATGGCTGGCCGGGCTCTCCTTCCCAAGGCTCCCTCCCGCTGGGAGGGAGAGGCCGGGCGGTAGCAAGAGGGTGCTCTTGCCTCGGGAGTGGGGACGCGTGAACCTCCCAGCTGCGGGAAACGCAGGGTTTCGCTGGGAAAGCAGCGAACCCCCATTTCACGGGGGATGCAGAGCGGCAGGTAACCTCAATGGTAACACCGCTGGGGCCACGCTGATGCTGGAAATAAATAAGGTGCGTTACCAGCACGGCGGACGTATGGCGATTTGTCTTCCTAAGCCCGCAGATGTGGGTTGGCACATGTGTGCCGGGTCCTGTGGCCGAGGGCCAGGCGGGGAGCCCGCCTTTGACTTCCAAAGAGCTATGCAAAGGCACACCTGGGAACCGGAGCACAGGCTGCAAACGCTTTAATTAAAGCAAAGAGCAAAGATGCGCGTTGAAGGCAGTCATTACCTCCCCAGCCCTTCTAGGAAAGCCTGTTGCTGCAGACAACGGTAATTAAGTGGAATATTACAAAGGATTTTGAAGAGTAAAGCACATGATGGTTTCGGCACCAAAACAAGGAAAATTCTTGCAGAATGTCTCAGTCCCACAGAGTTTTCTTGCTTGGCTTGTGTGGCTCGCATGCCCTGTCCTCCTGAAGCTGCCCTGGGTCGCAGGTGGGCTCGGTTTGCCCCCTTGGTTTTCTACAGGGAGGGCGTCGGTTTGGGAGGCAGGGTCTGCTGTAGAGGGGTTGCCCGGAGGGTGCGGGCACTGCTGGGGGTGCGGAGCAAAGGGAGGAGGAGCAGGGCCAGCTGAGATGTTTTCAGGAGCTCAGCTGCCTGCCAGCACCGCTTTTGGACTCTGTTACTCGCTGTTTTTTAGTGCAGACTGGAAGAAAGACATTCAAAACTTTTAAGGTTAGCTAAGGTTAGGTCGTCGTTAGCCATATTAATTCCTTCACACCCGTGCTGTGTAATTCAGCATTCGCACAGGTGAATACAGAAACTGAGGTGACTCAGAGTTTATTTTTAACCTTCGTTAATTTTTGACCTGTCTGTCTGCAACATCCTCTCTGACAGCAGGGGACGAGGAATTGGGGTCTGTCCCCAGACCTTGACCCTTCTTGCTGCGGCTCCTTTGCTTTTCTGGGCGAAGGGAGATTTGATGCTCCGGTGTTTCGGTGCACCTGGGTTTCGGTGAGGTTTTGCTGAAGCGGTTGTGAGCGTCTGCTGTAAGCCTGCTGGGCTGGGTGTGCTTGCTGTCTCCCATTTGCTGCGCTGAGTTATGTAAAGCTGGGATGTTGAGAGGTCAGGGAAGAGCAAAGTGTCTGACTCTTTGAAGTTCAGTCAGGTGTGTTTGTCTGAGGGGGTTTTTCCCCCTTTTTTCTTTTTTCTTCTCTTTTTGCAATGATGGCTGAACAAAATACCTGCATTAGCTGTCAAGCTGCTCTGCTCCAGCTCACCGAAACCCATCCTCAATCTAGATCAGCCTGATAAAATCCTCCCCCAGAGCCCTGTATATGCTTGGTTTTGCTACGTCTTTTTAAGAAAGCAAAAACCAAATACTGGGTTTTTGCCCAAGCTAGCAGAGCCATGCAAAACTCTCCCTTCCATGGAAGAAAGGCTTGTGGATGAATGCCAGTTGTATGCTGAGAAATGAAAGGTGATTAATTTTTTTTGTCACTTAATGGATAAACCCGCACCCTCCTCCTCCTCTCTTCCCCAGTTCTTCAATTTATTTTGGGGCAACTGATTTCGAGTTTGGAATATTCTAAGCTACAGGTTCTGTTTTAGACTAAATAGGTGTTGGAACAAATAAATTACAATCCAGTTTTATTGGACGCATTCCCAAAAGAGAGAGGAAGGAATCATGTCACTATCACTGAAGTATAAAAAGGTGCAATTTTCTTTTTTAATGGCACTTTAACAAAAATAAGAAGACGTAGTAGAAGGCTAGAGGGGTGAATTCCATCAGAAAGCAGAAAGTAGATTTTGGGCACTGGTGCCTTTGGACTGCTGCTCCCGCTTGCTTCGTTTCCCGTCTGCTGGGCTGAGGCCTGGCCGCGCTTTTCAGTTTTCCAAATGTCTGTCTTTTGGCAGAGAGACCCACACACAGTGGAGATGCTGAAATATCCCCAGGAAGCAGTGTGGATGTGGCCCTTCAGACAGGTTTTTCAGTGTAATTTTCACTGTCTCAGACTTTCACCTCGACTGCTGCTACCGAGGCAGTGGGGCAGGTTAGCGAGACCCGGACTGCTGGATGATTTTGGCATTTTTTAAGCCATTCCAACAAAACCTAGCGTGAGACAGGGCAACAACCCGATTTCACTGCAAACACTGATCTTGCTTTTGAAGAACTCTCTGCCTCCATTATTAGTTAGAATTTTTATAATCCTGTCATTTAGAAAACAAGCCCTTTTCTGTAAGCTTTAGATCACTCACTGATGGCTACTCTGACAAAACACACCCATGGGATTACGTGTAGGGCAAACTTTCATCCAAGAAGAGAAGTGACAGGAATGGGATAGTAGTTTGGGCTTGCTTAAGCTCATTACAAGTTGAATCCGCATCCCTGTGGGTGGTACTTTTCAGGTATCTCAGACTGCTTTCCTAATATTACTGCTCTGAACCACTGGCCAGGCTTGTGTGCCTGACTCCACGTGGCTGCAACTCTCAGCACATCTGGAAGAAACACAGTTTTCGAAGCTTGGCTGTGAATGGGGAAAAGAGGGATCTTCCATGACACTCAAGTGACTTGGGAGTGACTCCTAACGGGCTCTGTGCTCCCATAATAAGGGATATTTTAACAGGGGCCCCGCACTTGCAAACCACTGCCTGGGAACTTTCAGCAACCTCCTGGAGTATTTCTACACAGCAGAAAAATAACCCACATCTCTGATAAAGATGAGTTGCTTAACTTGAAGGGGTGAATTTGGTTCATCTCAGCAGTGACGACAAAGCAGGCTGAACAGAAGCCAGGTTCCCAGCCCTTCCCTGGGCTTCAGTGGCCAGAACTGAGCTAAAAACCCAAGTTATTGCATCTTCGTCACTATTTGATCTGTGTTAGCTGATGGCTGTCAGCTCGCCACAATTACAAACAAGCTGCTCAGCCTCATTAAAAGCAAACAAAGAGAAAAAAACAATTCCCCGTTCAGAAAATTGCTTAGGCCTGTAATTTCTTTTTAATCCTGTTTCAGGTACTTTGAGACGTCTGGTTAGCACGTGCTCCGCTGCTTTTCTTGAACAGTGACCCAGATGCTTAAGAGCTCCAAGTGCGAGGAGCCAGGACAGAGGTGGGCGGTGGGGACGGCGATGGGCAGGAGTGATACGGGAGCAATGCAGGAGCCATATGGGACCAACAGGAGTGATGCAGGAGTAATGCAGGAGTGATGTGGGAGTGGTGGTTTTGGGGAGGGTCTGACGTTGGTTTTACTCGGGCTGTGTAGCATTCTTCAGGCTTTGGCTTTTTATGCTCTTTTTGCTGGAGGAGGTTTTGGAGACGATTTTCACACCTGGGTTGGTGCCCTTAGCACTTCCAGAGCTAAAATTCCCTCCACTGGTGCTCAGGCTGCTGCTGCCACCTCCTCCATAGCCAAGACCACTTGTGACGCTGAGACCACTGCCACCTCCAAATCCACTGCTGAGACCACCACCACTTCCGAGTCCAAGTCCTCCTCCACCTCCAAAGCCATATCCTCCACCACCACTGCCTCCTCCAAGGCCAAAACCACTTCCACTGCCTCCTCCAAGACCAAAACTGCCTCCACCGCCTCCTCCACTTAGGCTCAGTCCACCAAATCCTCCTCCTAACCCAGCACCACCAGCCATGCCAGAGCTGGAGCTGATAACAGCTGCAAGAAAAAAAAATGACAGAGGGTCACACATCTGCTTGGCAGTCACCCAGTTCCAGAAAGCACCTGGACCTACAGGACTAGGCTACAAAGATGATGAGGGGACTGGAGCATCTCTCCTGCGAGGAGAGGCTGAGGGAGCTGGGCTTGTTCAGCCTGGAGAAGAGAAGGCTGAGAGGAGATCTTGTAAATGCCTACAAGTATCTTCAGGGTGGGTGTCAGGAGGACGGGGCCAGACTCTTTCCAGTGGTGCCCAGTGACAGGACAAGGGGCAACGGGCACAAACTGAAGCAGAGGAAGTTCCAGCTGAACATGGGGAAGAACTTTTTCACTCTGAGGGTGACGGAGCCCTGGAACAGGCTGTGGAGCCTGCTTCTCCGGAGAGATTCAAACTTCACCTGAACAAGGTCCTGTGCAGCCTGCTCTGGGTGACCCTGCTTTGGCAGGGGGTAACTGTCTTAAGATATGGTCTCAGACAGGGGGTTGGACTAGATGATCCCCAGAGGTCCCTTCCAACCCCTACCATCCTGTGATTCTGTGACTTGAACCCAACCCTTTGCACACTACTGGCAGAGGGCTCCAAACATCTTATATTGGGCAAAACCTCTCTTTTCCCAAGGTTGCTCACTGTCTCTGCTCCCAACAGGCCCAAGGCAAAACGAGCACTGTGGTACTTACAGTAGCTGATGGGGTTCAGTCCCTCTCCGCTCAGTCTGTTGGAGGGCAGATAAAGGGGAGATTAGAGCAAAATGAGGGAGATAGGCAGGGGGACCAATTGCTGGCAGGGGTAAGGCGTTAGTCCCTTTTATTCCCACAGGGATTTTGCTCCCACCTGCTCTCCTCGCCCTCCAGCAGCTTCCTGTAGGTCGCGATCTCGATGTCCAGGGCCAGCTTGACGTTCATCAGCTCCTGGTACTCACGGAGCTGTCGGGCCATGTCAGCTTTGGCTTTCTGCAGGGCATCTTCCAGGTCAATCATCTTTGCCTTGGCATCTTTGAGGGCCAGCTCCCCACGCTCCTCGGAGTCTCCAATGGCCGTCTGCAGGGTGGCACACTGTACGAGGAGGGATTGGGACTCTTAAATGCTGCTTTTTTTTTGGGTAAGAGTCACCCAAGGAAGAAAATCACTCTGACTGGGGTGTTAATAAACAACAGTGGCGACTGAGGTTGTTGACCCACAGCTAACATTGCTGGAATTGGAATGCCAGCCTGGCAAGAATGATTTAATATGTCGTACAGCGTGGTACCCTTTTCAGGAAGGAATTCAACACGTTTAATGAGGTACGTCATGCTCTGTGGCTGCTGACGTCCCCGATGGGCGAAGCAGTGGCAGACAGCAGGGCTCTGGTGCTAAGGGACCGCAGAACAGGGCTCCATGAGCTCCTTTTGACATTCCTACCTGGTTCCTCGTGTTCTCTATCTCTGACCGGATCCTCTGGATCAGCCGGTTGAGCTCAGAGATTTCCCCCTTTGTGTTGCGCAGGTCATCCCCGTGTTTCCCAGCTGTGGCCTGCAGCTCCTCAAACTGAGGTTCAGAAGGAAGAGTAAACCGTCTGAGATGATCAGGTGGACAAGATGTGGCTCAAACAGCCTCACATAGACACAGCAGTAGTTTTCCCCAGAAATGCAGCCATGGCATCTATGGGTCTGTTCACCTTGGTTTGGTACCAAGCCTCCGCCTCAGCCCGGCTCCTGTTAGCAATGTCTTCGTACTGAGCTTTGACTTCAGCGATGATGCTGCTGAGGTCCAGGTCCCGGTTGTTGTCCATTGACAGAATGACAGCAGTGTCAGACACTTGTGCGCTGAGCTGAGCCAGCTCCTGCAAGGAAGCATATGGGATCCTGGACTGGCTCCACTTACCTTTTCAAATGTCATGAACAATGGCAATCACTGTCCAAGGGGTGACAACAAGACAGAAACCAGGGGAGGAGGGTGTCTGTACCGCATCGTAGAGAGCTCGGAGGAAACTGAGTTCATCAGTCAGGGCATCCACCTTGGCCTCCAGCTCCACCTTGTTCATGTAAGCAGCATCCACATCCTGGAAAAGAGCAACCATGGGGACATCTGCAGCACTTGGTATCTCCTCTTTAGCTCAGCCAAGAATTGGCCAAGCCTTTCACTGCTGCAGTGGTACTGCCTGGCTGGAGAAGCTGTGCGTGGCACATCTCCCTGGAAGAGCACCCAGAGGACATCTCTTGGCCAAGAGGAGCTCTGTGTGTAACTTTGTTAGTGGATAGGGAGGGTGGTGGAGGCTGATTGGCCTTGGTACCTGGGGTTCCCGGCACTGCTAACTGTCTTTGTTCCTACATGGTCTGTTTTGCACAAAGCATGTGTGTATGTTGTGGGACAAGAATTCACTTCCATCCTGCAGCCCCTCCGTTCCTTCCCACCAAAACCACAATCCAAATGACAGCTTTTAAAGGATGAGGATACAGCTCCATGAGATCTCCCATCCTTTAGGACTCACCCACCTTCTTCAGCACCACAAATTCATTCTCCGCTGCTGTGCGTCGGTTGATTTCCTCTTCATATCTGCAGGGGTAAGGGGAAAGACGTGCCTTATCATACTTCAGCAAGCAGAAAAGTTGTACAGGTAGGACTACAAGGTTGTCTGGGCTGTGTATGGTGTTTCCAAATCAACCTCCTGGAAACTGTCCCAGCTCAAATTTGAGAGAATCCCATTTCTCAAAGGGTTGAAGTGACATTTTGCCATAATGCAGATGGAACAAGGAGAGTAAAGCTGGTTTAGACGATTCTTCTTTGCAAGTGTCATCACAAGTTGTTATGTCCTGGCTGAATCTGCATTTTCCAATTGGAAAATGGACCACCTTTCTGCTGAAGTCGAGGGAAATGGGGGTCCTGAGGGGTAAGATACCTCACAGGAGTGGAGGGAGTTAGAGGGAGATTGGTTAGGTACTATGTTATGGGCTAGAGCACAGACTGGAGATGCTTTTTTTGCCTTTCCTGTAGAAAGTTTGATGAATGTCTCAGGCTAGATGTGTGACTTTCACAGAGCTAAACTGAAGTGAGATTAATCCTACTGCCTAATGCTAAGATGAACCATTTGCATCCCATTTCACCCCAGGGAGCCTGGATGTGCCGCGAACAGGCACTCACTTGTTCTTGAAATCCTCAACGAGGTCTTGCATGTTCTTCAGCTCCCCATCCATGCGTCCTCTCTCGTTGAGCAGGTTGGCCAGCTGCCGTTTCAAGTTGTTGATGTAAGCCTCAAAGAGTGGATCCAGGTTGTTTTTGCCTGAGTTGTTTTTTTGGCCCTGGTCCTGCAGGAGGGTCCATTTGGTCTCAAGCACCTTGTTCTGCTGCTCCAGGAAGCGAACCTGAGCATTGGAAAGCAGAGGAGGCTTAACAGAAGATACCTGTGAGCATGCTGATGGTCGATAATGAGTAACTGGGACTGATGTGCAGCACAAACGAAGGAAATCCCAAACCAAGAGTGTTAAATCCAGCTGTGAATATCCTGCAGATTATCTAGGGCTATGTTAGCCCATCCAGTCACTAAGCAAATCTGCCCTCAGTGGACAGCTCTCTTTAGAGACAATTTAATTTAGCAAGCCAATGAGCAATCATTAGAAAATGTGGGTTCAGCTCGTTCATCACTTGCTTGCTTTAACATCCTTTGGTTTTTCCTTCTTTGTAAGAGATATTTATCTTCCTTTAATAAAGCTAAGATCGGAGTGCTACAGGTTAAAAGACAGGTACTTAATTGCCTTTCCTTTTGTTCATATATGCTACATATTTACCCAAGTAAAAGCCAGGGAAGGACCAAAGTTGAGTCAACATAAAAAGGACTTTAGCTTACAGGCAATAAAGCAGTAAGGATTAACATATCTGCTGTGATTCCCCACAGAGAGAGCTGGGTTAGGCAGCTAGACCTGGACCTGAAACTGGCTTATTCCATTTGAGCTAATACATCTTATTTCTCAGGCACATAACCTGGATCTAATCCTCTTATTACTAGTTTCTAGTCTAGTTTTCTTGTAACTGTTTAGAAGAATGTTCTTTTTTGATTACTTTAATGAAGACATGCAGATAGGAAATATGCAATAGACTGTAGGTCTATGAAGTCATATTTTTGTAGCTAGAAGACTGTCACGCTCGCTTGCTGTCATGATTCCACAGCACTTGATGAAGTCTCACCTTGTCAATGAAAGAAGCAAACTTGTTGTTGAGGGTCTTGATTTGCTCCTTCTCGTCTTTTCGCACCTGATGGATGTTTGGATCTATCTCCAGGTTCAGTGGTGCCAGGAGACTCTGGTTGACAGTCACTTCTTGGATTGTACCGACTCCAGGGGGGCCACCACCAAATCCCACTGAGTTCCTGCTCCCACCCAGCCCTCCACTGAATCCTCCCAGCCCCCCTACTCCACCAAACCCAAACCCTCCACCACCTCCCTGTCCACCACCAAAGCCAAGCCCTCCAGCACCTCCACCAAAGCCATATCCACCACCTCCACCACCAACACCAAGTCCAAGACCGCCACCAGCTCCGCTGCCACCACCACCTCCCAGGCCAGAGCCACCACCAGCTCCACTCCCAAAAACAGCTCGGAGGCTGCTTCCAACACCGAAGGATATCCGCTTGCTACCACCAAAGTTGTAGAGGCTCCTGCTGCCAAAACCGCCGCCACCACCACCGCCTCCTCCAATGAGCCTTCCAAAACCACCTCCACCTCCTCCAGAGCGTGCCACAGACATCGAACTAAAGCCAGCCCTGTTGCCACTTGGAATAACAGCTGAGGCAGTGCTATAGGATCTGCCTCCACCTCCTGCTCTCATGCTGTGAGTTTGCCGGTTCATTGCAGCAGGAGATAACAGCCCAGCACTGGCGAGAGGCAGCAAACCAAGAAAGAGCAGCTCTCTGATGGAAAGGAGTGCGGGAAGCCCTTTTTATCCCTCTGGGGATCTGGGCTTGGTTGCATGGAAGTCCAGCAATCAATTTAGTGCCTTCATGGTTTTGACGTGCCAGGCAGCCAGCTGTCTTATTGAAACTTGTTGAACACTGATTGTGCTCAAACACACCTATTGGAGCCGGTGCGAATCTGCTCAGCTAGAAGAGTTATCTAACTCCCTGAGTTGTGGCAAGGAGAGCTCAGCCTTAGTGCACAGCCTCTGTATGCTTGCGGAGATGTATTATTTTATTTCCTAGCTGAAAAGCAAAACAAAATAAATAAGAAAGGGTGAAACAAGGGAAATAGCTAGCTGGATAACCCTGTGCTACTTACAAGATGCAGGAGAGCAGTATAGAGCTCAGCGGAGAGTCCTCTGAATTAACTGAAGTGAAAGGCAGTGAGAATCAAATGGCTAAATCTGAACAAAAATATTTTACTGTGCTTCTTCACCTGAAGGCAGAGTGTGGGTGTGATGTTCGTGAAGCCTGACATCTCTTTCGAGGCTTTAATTTATCTGGTCTGCCTGTTCACACTAGTTAGGCAGAGACCATCTTTTTGAGCTGAGTAGCGCAAAGAGGTCCTGAGCCATGATTTCCCTGTGAGACATTATATTTAAATGTCATCTCAAGTTTTGGCCATTTAGCATTCAGTATTTAGCCTATGGCAGGTTTCCTAGGCTTCCTTTCTAGAGATATTGGCATCTCCAGAGGACAACTCTGTCCCACCCAGAGGTTGCCGTTGTGATGTCTCCAGCCAACTGATGGTGTGAACGATGCATTTTTATCTTGATGGAAAACGCGTTTCAACGAAAGAGGCAGATTTTCTGAAGAACGCTCTGCTGAGCTTTGTGGAATGGTATTATTTGCATGTTAACATTAAGATGTCATCAGTCTTGAGTTTCTAGCTCTTTACAGCTGTGATTTCTTTTAAAGACCTTTGAACCATTCCATTCAAAATGTTGCCAAAAGCAAAGACTTAAGCAGCATGAAAAATGCTCCCACAAATGCTCCATATTTTACTTCCTGGAGTCCTTGGGGAAAAGAGCACGTTCAGTAGCGTGTGGTGACATTTTCTGTCATCTCAAGACTTTGTGGAACTGCAGTGTTTGGAGAATTTTATGCTTCACATTTAAGAGCTCAGTTCGTTTCCAGCATGTTGCCGTCCTGGTGGCATTGCCCATGCCGCGCACATGACTGGAGCTTAAACGTATTTGCAGGACAGGACTCTACATGCCCTTCAGAACACGCTCATGGGCCCCACTGCTACAAAATCATTATGTACGAGCTAAAATCCCACTGGCATCTCTGGAAGAAAAATTAAGCAGGTGTTTCACGTTCTACTGAATACAGAAGACCAAATATCTGATTAACCTTGGAGAAATGCTGCCAGGCAGGCTCAACCCGAGAGAGCTGGGTCACTCAAAGAGAATTTCCCACTGCAATGAAAAATTCCCAGCTGGTACAGGTCGGCTTGCTTCCCTTTGGAAAATGCTGGTCTGAATCTGCCTGGGCTGTCACTTGAAATTCATGAACATCTATTGCCTTGATTATTTGCATAAAATTCAAAGCCTGGGTGCGATGGGAAAATGAGATTGTCTTCATGCTTTCTTGACCTCAGTAAAGGCAGATTGTCCCAAAGTTGACGGACGAGTTCGGATCAGATATTAGAGCTGAATGAATATAATGGGATTAAAGGTGGGGCTGCCAACAAGAAAGAGGGAATTGTCATTTTAGGCTCCCACACTGTTCTTCCTTCAGCCCACTGTCCACAAGGTATGCGGGCAATGAGAAGGCTGGGTGAAAAATGCACCATTTCTTTACTGGCCTGGTTTATTGTGTGGAGGAGCTGAGGTTTTTGGGCTCCATACCCGGAGGCAGATGAGGCTTTTTGCATCTGTCGGTTTGGATTAACTCTACTAGGCTCTGCTGATCTACCAAGGGGCATGTTCAGGGTGACATTGAGCAGGATTTGGCCTCCAAACTGTCCCAAGAAACATGCTCCTGGTGTTTTTTGTCTCCAAAGTTGCCTGATCTACGTGAACATCTTTCAGGCAGCCAGCAGAAGACGTGTTCTGCAATACTCGGGAGTTGAGAAGGGCAGGGATGATTAAAGGTTTTGGGGCACTGAAAGCTTCTTGTTTGGGTGTTTCTGCTTGTTATTTACATACAAATGAGATGAAGTCCGAGTCGCATGCACTGAGACAAAAAAGATGAAGATAACCATTTCGAAAAACATCCTCTTCAGGTGGGTGGGGTTTGTCTTCTCAGCAAGAGCTGATCCCCTCGGTTTTCAGCGCCCTCCCAGCCCGGACAGTGTTGCCAAGACATGACATTTACTAAAAAATGTTTAGTGATCTGCTACCTGCTGATCACATCCAGTAAAACACTGTGCTTTCCATCAGAAGAACACTGCAGAGGTGGGAGCCTGAATTCACCATGCTCGGCATGGCCTCTGTACTGGCAGAGAAGCAGCGGCAGATGCTCAACCAGTGGGACCCAGCGGTGGGTTCGTCACTGTCACGCCGGCATGGACAGACTGAGCCTGGCAGGGTGGTTGACCTCATCCTCCAGCCATGGAGATCTTGGGTCAGACCAGCCATGAGTCAGCAGTGAAGTCTAGGAAGCAGAGTGGGACATCGGGGAATAAATTACAACACCTGGGCTTGGTGTCCCTTTCATGGGGTCAGTTAACCTGCCCACACCCTATGCTGCTTCCAGACTGGGTGAGGAGACACAGGCTGCTCCAAAGGGCAATTCGGAGTGAAGCTGTCCCCCGGGACTTTTGGCTGCGCCCAGGCAAGCCGTGGGAGGGAAGAAGCCGGCATGGCTGGCCGGTTTTCCTGACCTCCAGCCCTGCTTCCAGCTGCCACATGTGCCACCCTGGCAAGGCTGTGTTACAGAGACCTGTCCATGGGTCACCGTCCCTTGGGAACTGGGGACCCTTGCAGAGAAAAGGGAGGGGGCAGCCTAATCTCACCTAAATTGCCGAAGTCCCCTGAAAAGCCGGGAGAGGGGTTCCCCTCCCTGCAAGGGATCTTGGAGTGGGACGCACAGGCACACTGTGCAGGTTCTGCTCTTCTTTTAAAATTAGCCTACTCTTGTGAGAGGGCTTCAGGGGTAGGCTCTGGGATTGTTTTCTTCTTGTTGCTACCTGAGCTGATTCTCACTGATTTCTTTAAACAAGGGCCCAGCTGTGGTTTTATTCTGCCTCCAGAAATCCCAGACAGTGTGAGAGATCTCCAGTGAGCTGCACATCCCACGAGCAGTTAAGTATCCTGGTTCGCACTGCGGTTCCAGACTTCCTCACGGCCACACTCGTCTCCAGGTGGAATAAACGTATGCAAAAGTGCATCAGGAAGGAGAGCAGACGCAGCCTCTAAAAAACTTTGTTAAAACTCCACTTCTTGAGAGCTACCAGCCCTGCCTGTTTGGAGATTCATGTCTGAGAAAGGATCTGTGCTTTTGTAATGTCAAGGAGGGAAATAAAATGCACGAAGCAAGGCATGAATTATGCGTGTAGTTTATTGAAGGTACAGCTGAAAGTGTGGAGTAAGCGAAGGGTAGTCAACTCTGTTCACTTACACATTAAAGGCATTAAATCCATCTATCTAATACACACACAGGAAAAACAACGCATGCATTTAACTACAGAAATATAAGGTGCTCGTCTGTGTGTAATTAAAATCTGCTCTACCAAACCTGGTGTAGCAACTTGGACCAATTTGCATAAGCATTACCAACCCTCTCATAAACAGGAAAAATTGGATTTTCTGGTGTCATTAAAGAAGTGAAATAATAGCTGCAGCTCCGTCTCAGACAATTAAAATGTGGCTTCTCTTTCTGAAGTTGGGATGACCAAATTTTCATCCTTTTGCAATAGCTGCATTA